CTGTTTCTCTGAGGACACCATGTGGCCATGTTGAGAACTGCAGGAAGCTACCTCCCATCTGGGCCTAGGCGGCCCAGGGGTTGGCTTCTGGATTGTGTTCGACCTTGCAGGCCAGTCCTGCCACTCTGTGGTACCCCCATCCAACTCCTCTTCTGGGCCACATGCCATACCCTGGCTGGCACTGATACCGACTGGCCTAACATCCCCGGATAATACTGTGCTCTGTCCTCTCCCTCATGGGAATAAGAACTCAGCACAGAGCCCTGCCCCTCCCTCCCCTCTCTCTCCGTTTCTGTCGTTTCTGTCCTTCCCTCCCTCCCTCCCTCCCTCCCTCCCTCCCTCCCTCCCTCCCTACCTCCCTCCCTCCTCCTTCCCTCTCCCTTCTCCTCCCTGACAGTGTTTCCTTGGGATGGCTGGAAGTCTTGGGACTTCAGCTTTGACTTAACATAAGACCCGAGTGGTCAGCGATGACGGGCCTCATCTTTGACTCACAGAGCAAAGTGCAGACCCAAGTTATACGGCTTGGAACAACTTCAGACGGTCTGATCAACTTCCCTACAAGCCAGAAACCTAGCTCCACTGCCACAGTTGAAGGGGCTCAGCTGGCGGGAATAGCCACCAGCCAAGAACAGCTCGTGGTGCCCCAGGAACAGTGTGGAGGTAGCATGTTCGTCTCCCACGCTCCCCTCAGCCCTACTCCCTTCAGCTAGGCTCTCAGCTGGGGTGAGCATCCATGACACACACAGTACTCAGGCACAAATAGCATCCATGACAGCCATGACACCCAATGTACTCTTGGCACCCAGGACACAGAAATGACCAGGGAAGGGTCCCCTTCCTGTGGCTCTAGCAGAGTCCCAAGCCTGCCTCTCCCTGGCCTGACTGTAGTTGTATTGCAATGTTAGCCACACAGGCTTGTGGCCCATGTCCATCCCTAGAGGGACAATAGACATCTGCCCCTTCAAACTGCCCAGGGGAGAGCTATGTTTGAAAAGGTTAAGTTGCAGGGCTCCCAAGTACATGTCCTGCCAGCTACGACTACTCTGTCATGTCCACCAATGACACAGGCCCTCTCTGTCCTGTGAATGTGTAGAAGCGAAGAGAACGAGCCTGAAATTCCAAGGTGTCCTCGGTGTGACAACCATAGTGAGGTCCAGCGAGAAGGAGCCAGACCTGGCAAAGCCCACTCCAGGCTGCGAGGGCTCAAGACACAGTAGCTGGGGGTCGTGCGCCATCCACTGAGGAGGGGCTTCTAAGAGAGGGTATTTCCCTTAAGGAGAGACCTCCCAGGAGCATCAAGAGAGCGGCGCTGGGGTGATTCACACAGAGCCCAGGTCTCGCTGTGGTGGCACCAGAGAGACAATGTGAATAGAGTGGCCTGGCCCTGGGACGAATGTGGCTCTGTAGTTAGATGAGGCAGCCTCCCTCAGCTCTCCCAGTGTCCGGATGCAGAAGCCTGCTGCACGCTTACCCACTCAGATGGCTTTATTCACCATATGTGATCAGAAAACCCATGTGCAGCTAGTCTGAGCGTGGCCTCTTTGTCATTCTCTCTGAGGACCCCATCAACCCCGCTTCTCTTCTACCTGAGGTTAAATCAGACTCTGCAGCCTGCTCAGGGACTGCCTGTCATCTGCTAATGGGGACACTGTTGACCACCGCTCTTCCTCTGGCCTGCCTTCCTCCATAACAATGGCTTACGTATTAATTTGTATTTTTAGAGTGTTTTACCTGCACTGGTGCACCACGAGCATGCCTGGTACCAGCAGAGGCCAGAAGAGGGTGTCAGACCCTTGATACAGGCTGTGACTGAGGTACAGAGAGTTGTGAGCCACCAAGTGGATACTGAGAAGCAAACCTAGGCTCTCTGGAAGAGCAGCAAGTACTCTTAACCATGGAGCCCTCTCTCCAGCCCTGGCTTGACTAGTAAACCATCAGTTCGGCTGCTGCCCCTTAGAACACTGGCTTATCCGCACCCACATAGTACAGCTGTCTTGGTCTGGACCAGTCCTTCTGCTGCCCACACTGCTAGCCAGGATACCCTAGAGCTTATGCTATGTGCCCCCTTGGAACACATGCTGGCATGCCTCTGGGACTGTTGACCAGCTGTGTGGTTGTCCCCTACCCTAGAATTCTCATAGTAGGAAGCATCTCTTGATTCTTTGTGCTTCTGCTTCCTGATCTGCACCTGACAGGCAGCAGCAGGCACCACCCTTCTCACAGGGGCTCTGCAGCTACAGGGACTTGACACCATATAGTTCCGAACACTTAGCCTGGCCATTGGCAGCTGCTCTGCAGTTGCTGGTCCTTTATCCAGGTTCTAACCAGCTCAGATAAAGAAAGGAGCTCCCTTACTGGAAGAATGGCAGCAGGGGCAGCAGGGGCAGCAGGGTTCTGAGTAGGCTGCCCCTGGCCTGGTGCCCAGGTGCCCAAGTGATTGTGCTAGTGCCCAACTTCCTGGCCTGAGCCTTGACCTCTCCAGATCCTGCAAAGGACGAGAAGGAGTTGAGGTGCTGTGTAGCTCGCAGGTTCTGGGGTCAGCCCTCATGCAGACACTTGGCATCTGCTGGGGCCTGCCAACCTCATCTTCCCTTATAACTTCCCATCATTATGATGGTCCCGGAAGTGGGGTACCTCTTAGACTGGCGGTGAACTGGGGTGACAGGCTCCCCCACCACTGGACTTGGCGTGCCTTCCTGGGTGCAGGACTACTGTTGTCCTCCTGGGGACTAGCACTTGGGGTTTCCTCCAGGTGCTGATTGGGCCAGGAAGGGGGGATGGGGCCTGGGAGCAGTGGGAGGTGACTCTTCTATCTGTCTCAGCCACTATTAGCAGGGGCCTGTTAATGAAAATTCACACCCAGGTGCTAATAAACAGTGGGCTGCTCCCAGGCCCCTCAGAGGAGAGGCCCTCCACAGGGAAGAGGGCTGGCCAATGAGTTCCACTTATCTGTGAAAAGACTTGCTAATAACTTTAATTCTCCATCCTAAACCACTGGGCCTTTACTTTGCAAATAGATTTTCTATACTGGGTTGGCTCCTGGGCCAGGAAGACTTCCTGTCCAGAGCCAGTTAAGGTACTGGGAGGAGAGTGTCAGATGGAGTCAGAAGTGCTGGGAAAGGGCGTGACCAGTGAAGGTGTCAGGTCCCCCACCCCTGGTGATCCCTACGGTCACTCTCTCTGCAGCCAAACACTGGCTATTGTATGAACTGCTCAAGCTGGGACCCCTGAGCTGCAGAACAGGACCGTGAACCCACACTGCATCACACACACACACACACACACACACACACACACACACACACCCGCTCTAGCCAGAGTGCTGGAAAAGATCCCCCAGGTGATTTAAAACAAATCCCACAGAAGAATAAATCACTGTGAAGGACTGTGAGAAGGATCCAGTTTGGGTGATAGAAAGGAATGGAGTTCTGGAAGGTGAGCTAGCGGGTGAACCTTGGAAACATTCTCTGAAAGAAGCCAGATCCACGAGACCACACTTCACGCTCCTTTCTTCTTGTTTTTGAGACAGGTTCTCCTGTGTAGACTTGGGTGATCTGAAACTCACTGTGTAGACTGGGCTTGCCTTAAATTCAAAGATCTGCTGGCCCCTGCTTTCCAAGTGTTGGGATTAACGGTGTATGGCCAGCTTGAGTATTTCTTCTTATAGGAAATATTTACAACCGATAAACTTCATTAGGGATAAAAAGTGTCACTGCGCGGGAATGGCTAGTGGTCACCGAGGCTGATGAGCAGTGCGGTTAATGGGAGCTGCTGCTTTTTCCATAGTCGTCTTTTCTTGAGACAGGGCTCACTGTGTAACCCTGGAGAGCCTTGAACTCAGAGATTTGCCTGCTTCTGCCTTCCAAGTGCTGAGATCAAAGGTGTGCCACCACATCTGCCAAGTAGCCTCTTTTTGGAGGTGATAAAAACTACCTTAAAATTAGTGGTGATACTTGCATAGCTTTATGGATATGCCAAAGTCATTGATGTGTGCTTTCTAAAGAAGCATGAGAGCATAGTGGCACATGTGTCACCCAGCATTCTCTGAGGCGAGGGCAGGGGTCAGGAGTTGAAGAGAGGGCACCCTTGGTGGAATGAGACTCTATCTCAAAACATTATCAATAAACGCTTATTAAAAGAAATAAACTAATACCAAGGCCTGAGTTTCTGATAGTTGAGGGGGGGAAAGAGTTGCTCCTGCACCCTTGGCAGAGACTACCATGAGTCAGTGCCCTTACTGGATGGATGGTTCTCTGCACCCCTGCTCGGCTCATGTCAGCCTCTCTCGGGGCTCCAGGAGCCTCTCCTCTCTTCTCGGCTGCATATTCCTGATCTGAACTTGAGCAGCACAGGTCAGGCATCAGCACAGGGGTCGGCCATCAACAGGTCCTTCATCCCGTCCTAGACAGGCCTCCAAGGAACCATGGTCGCATCACCCAGACTCTCCCACCGACGTCACTGGTATCTCCCAGCCACATGGAGATGGGAGGCTGGACGGGAACCCCAGGTACAGCCCAGCTGCCCAGCTGCCCAGAATAGCAGACACGCCCTTCTGCTCCCACCACTGAACACTGCAGCCCAAAGCCTTACATGGGTCAGAGTCTTGACCTTTATGTGTCTGTAAGCTATATGCAAAGGTAATAAGGTACAAAACCACTAATGGAGTTGTATTTTCTGGTTTTATCCAGTTTCTCCCTAGATTTCAAAAAAGAGGAACGACTTCCTGTCACCTTTCAGGAAGCCCCTCACTCCATTCCACCCCACCCCACCCTTCAGACTGACCCATGCAGAATACATGTTGACCGGGAAGAGGGTAGAAGGCCTTTGTATTTCCAGGCTGTAGATTACAAGACTCTCATGTCAGCTTTCCCTACCACATACCAGAACTTCCAGCAGGTCATGGGGGCATGGGGACTTGTGTCACCATGAGTTTAGGTCAGCCTGGGCCGTATAGTGTGAGGCCCCCTCCCCCCAAAAAAGAAGAAAATAAACCCTCTAAATGACACTAGCACAAACGGTTTATTCACAAATAAATACACACTAGGCAGAGCTTGTGCCTGCTTCAGCTTCAGAGCATGTACCCCATTGGGTCCCTCCCTCCAAGGAGAGTTGGAAAGGTACAGTCTAGATGAGGACCAGCTAGCTCCCACTCTGGGAATGCCCATGCTGGTATCACTGGTGCCTCTTCTGGGAACTACTCCCTCCGAAGGTGCCAAGATGAAAGGAAAAGTGTCTGTGCTCAGACAGAGTGTCAGTCATCCATTGCATTGTCCCTGCGGCCACTCCTGCGGCGTCCAGCCTTCTAGCAGAGCCAGCATGTCGCTGCTGAAGAGCTGCAGGAAGAGTGAACAGCGCCACAATCAACACCTGCCCCGGTGTCAGGTTCGCGCTCCTTGAGCGAGGAACCTTGAGCGAGCAAGTAAAGCATCCTTAATCCCTGCCTGTCCACCTCCCACCCCGTTCGAGCACCCAGGGCACGCGGGGATGCTCGCAAAGGAGATCCAGGGAGCAGCAGAGGCGCTGGTCCGCGACGTGGACCTGTGCGTCGCGCACCTACAGTAGGGGGCGCCGCCTCCAGAACCGGGGAGGGGGGAAGGGGTTACTAACCGGAGACGAGGGGCTGGGCTCCATCTCCTGCCTCTCTTGCGATGCTGTTTCGGCGTACAGGAACGATGGGTCCCACGATTCTACGGCGACTCGGGGTCTAGGGTAGGCGGGCGGGGACCCCCACGACACTCCGCTGCAGGTGGCCGGGATTAAGCGTGGACCGAGCGACTGCGCCTGCGCCAGGCCGCCGTCGGGGCACAGCGGGCATTCTCGAGGTGACACCGCGTGCCTTTGTCGCCGGAGGCTGTCCTCGCTGAGGCCCAGCACAGCCGACAGGTGACCGATGTAGCGGATGGCCAGGCGCAGCGTCTCGATCTTGGTCAGGTTCTGGCCGGTTGGTGCCACCGACGGCGGCAGGAAGCGGCGCAGCTCATGCAGCGCGCGGGCGAGTGTGCGCATGCGCAGCTTCTCGCGCTCGCTGGCGCTCTGTCGCTGTCCGCTACCCAGGCGGCTGCCGTGCGTCCCGCGCCTACCGGGGGTCCCAGCACGCCTGGCCGGCCGGGCGCAGGGTGGTGCGGGGCTGCTGGCCTGGGCACCGTCCCACGAGTCCGAGGACCAGGCTGGGGAGCAGACGCTGTCCCCATCGGAAGGCAACGGTGGCTGCTGATGGGCGGGACTCGGGATCCAGGACTCGGAGAGCGGCGCGCACAGGGGCTGGGCCATGGCAGCGGAGGCCTGACCATTGGGTCCGCTGCAGCTTTATCCTGAGCCCTAGGTGTGAAGCGGGCCCCTTCCAGAACTCATCAGCACATCAAAGCCGGCTCGAGCCAGGAGGGGGGCAGGGCCTGAACCCTTTGAACCAAGAGCAGGGGCACTTAGGTGCAGGACCCCCTTGGTCCAGTCTGCTCTACCTGAGCCATATTTGGGGCCTCAGTAAGACAGGCACCTATGGCCAGGACGTTAAGCCAGCCCTGCAAGTTGAAAGAACCATGTTCAGAGAACCTAGCTCCTAAGCTTAGGGTACACCTTCATTTAGTAGGGGCCCTACGCCACTTTCCCCATCGCTTTAATTTACAAATTGTATAACAAGAGACTCCCGGATTGCATTGGCCAACTGTGGACTAGGGACATCTAGACACGGAGAGAACTCTAGTTCATTCCTTCCCAGAAGATTAGAGGTAGGCTGTGGTCGTTCCTGATGTCCAGGCTGTGGGAGACACATTGAAGAAACCACCCTGACAGACCTGTGAGGTTGCTGGGTTGTCCGAGCAGGGGGAGAGGTGAGCCTGCCTCCCTTCACTACAAGTCACTCCTAGTCTTGGCAAGATGGGGAGCTTGGTCCCTTTTCCCAGCCCTCCCATGCCTGGAGCTCTGCTGCTCTGGTCAGCTACAGTGAGTAAGCAGAAAGTCCTTTGACAAAACTCAACAGCCCTGAGCTGGATGTGGTAGCACACTTGGGAAGTGAAGGCATGTGGGTCAGGAGTTCAGGGCCAGGCCTAGCTGTATATGGCCCAGGTTAACATGGGTTACATAAGATCCTGTTTTGGAAAAAACAAAAACCCTGAAAAGCAGAAATCATTTGTGCCAATGGCAGTTTTATAATCTTACTATTTCATAGGCTGCTACCTGTTAGGTTATATAGAGTGTCCATCTGTGCTGGTGCCCACAGGCACCACACAGGCTAGAGGTGTCACTGTCACGTTCCTCAGGATCTGGACTCACAGGTAAGTGAGCTGCCTGAGGTGGCTTCTGGGGACCTTGGGTCCTCTTCAAGAGCAACATGTGCTCTTCTTAACTGCTGAGCTGTCTCTCCAGTTTTTTTCCTCCCACCTCTTGAAACATGGTCTCATGTAGCACAGGCTAGCCTTGAACTTACTATATATAACCCAGCTGGCCTTCAGCTCCTGATCCTGCTGCCTCAGCTTACAGCTGTGAGCTGCCGTGCCTGGCTGTTGAGGATGTCTGCTCTGATCATACTTGTTCAGTGTTGTACTGGATGAAAGGACTAGGTTGGAAAATAAAGAGAAATAAATACAAACCTGCCCCCACTTATATGCAATGCGCTTATTTACATAGTCACCAAGAGTTGGGCACACAGGCACATGCCTGTAATTCCAGCACTTGGAAAATAAAGGCAAGAGGAGTTTGGGCCAGCCTTGACTACAAAGCAAATTTGAAGGTATCCTATGCTACAGGACTGAGGGCCAGTGGTGTGGATTAGTTGGTAGAGTGCTTGCCTAGCCTGCCAGAAGTCCTAGGTTTTATTCCAACACTCCATAACCACTTGTAGCACTGGCTTGTAACCCTAGCACTGGGGAGATGAAGGGAGGACTAGAAGTTCAAAGTCAAAATCACCTTTGGCCTAGAGCTATGGCTCAGTAGTTAAGAGTACTGGCTACTCAGCTAGGCATGTTGGAGCATGCCTTTATTCCCAGCACTCAGGAGGCAGAAGCAGGCATGAGTTAGAGGCCGTCCTGGTCTACAGGGTGAGTTCCAGGACAGCCAGGCCTACACAGAGAAACCCTATCCTGAAAACACAACAACGGGCTGGAGGGATGGCTCGGTGTTTAAGAGCACTGACTGTTCTTTCAGAGGTCCTGAGTTCAAGTCCTAGTAACCACATGGTGGTTCACAACCATCTGTAATGGGATCTGATGCCCTCTTCTGGTGTGTCTGAAAACAACTACAGTGTACTCACGTAAAAAAAAGAAAAAAGAAAAAAAGAAAAACAGAAAACCACAGCAAAACACCCAAAGCAACAAACAACAAAGTACTGGCTGCTCTTTCCCCAAACCCAGGTTTAACTGATTCCTAGCACCCACATGGTGGCTCATAGCTGTAACTACATTTCTGGGGATTGCACTCTTCTGGCCTCTGGGTACTATGCAAACATACAGAGCACAAATATACATGCAGGTAAAACCCTCGTACAGACAGCAGGCATGCTCTTCTCCAGCTAGGCTGCCAGGTACCTGGTGTCCAGCATTACATCCGAACTTCTTTCTTCCTCTGGAGGAATAACACTCAGATCTCCCGGTGCCAATGCCCTGAATCTTTACTCCCTGTTTATCTTCTAGATGGGTGATGGTTTCTGGTGGTGAAGATCCCATGGGTTGGTACCTGATTCTCTGGGCATCTCTGCCCACTGCCATCCCTTTGTCCTCTGTTCTCTACTGCCCGTGACCTCCTCAAACACGTCTCCATCCTTTCCTCTCTGTCAGAAGGTGCACGTCTACAATGATGACCAGAGAAGCAGTGTCCACCTCCACTGTGGAGCAGAGAAGCAGGCACACATGCCATGAGCTTGTGTGCCTGGCCCAGACGGTCCCTTCACAGGCTGCAACTGTCTGTGGGGTCTGTGCGGTCTGCACCGAGGCAGTGGATGCCTTCTTGGGGCTCTTGATCTGAACAAGAGCCTCGAGTTCAAGCTCAGGGCTTGTGCCTCTTAGTTGACGCTAGAACTAGCAGCTGGGGACCTGATGTGTGCTTGGACAGGGCGGAGTGTACATAGCAGCCCCACAGGCAGGAGGGCCGAGGTCTCAGCTCTGAGGACACCCGAGTGTCCCAAATACCTTCCACATACCCCCGTGTGGCCATGATTTCACATCATATCAAAAAATTTTTTTGAGAAATTTCACTGAAAGATCTTGTGTCTTAAATTGAAAATACAGTAGATGTACATGGTTTAAAATTTAAAAGTGTCTGGGTCCAGAGGGCATAGCAAATGCCCTGTCAAGCCTGCTTCTGCAGCTTCTACCTGGTTACTCCAGACTGAACTGGCATTGCTTATTGTTTGCTTCTTGTTAATAACACTTTGAAGTTGTATTTTTATTAACTATGAAGTTAGGCAGACATGTTTGGACGAGGGAGGGGTGGGGGACGCCACACCTCATTGAAGGCACAACACTTAAGAAGCCTCAGGTCTGAGGCCTAATTGTTAGCATTGAGTGTCAGAAACACAGAAGGATCTGGAACAGGAGAGGGACGCTGTGAGTGAAGCAGGGTAAGATGGTGGGGTGTCAGACATGAGGGAAAGCTTAAAAGGCACAGAGTTAGTGAATCCGGGAGGAACTGCATGACAGACAGGCAGATGGCAAGTCCTGCCTCCAACTCCCTCCCAGAAGTCTTGAGTGCTAAGACTAAGTGCCACGTGGGGTCCCTCCCTCCCGTTACCGTTACCACTGCTGCCCCTGTGGTCGCTGGGAAACTACCTCAGGGGCCCAGCTGGTGCAAGGGCAGTGGGAGCCTCTGCTTCCTTCTGCCCCTTTGATCTCCTTATCTGGCCAGAGTCTTCAGTGGGTTCATTTGGGAGCTGCTCCGAGTTAATGAGTTCTCCAGACTGCAAGGCCCACACAGCCTCCCTGCTGGGCCAAGGCCTTCACACTTTTGGGGCCTATGTTTTGACAAGTGCCAGAGCCGGTGGCTTCTGCTCCCCTGGCCAGAGCCTCCCCTGGTTGCCAATGTGTAAGGCTGGGAAATGAGGCCTTGCCACCACCCCATCAAAACAGAGGTCAGAGTTCAAGCCTCAGCTGGGTAGGGAGCAGACAGGACAGAGAGGCCCACTCCAGGCTCAGGGTCCAACCTCAGTCTTCATGCTGGAGCTGGGCACCACACTGCCACCCACTCTGCAGCCTCAGTGCCCTCATTTCCCTGGCAGCCCCTCTGACATAGCCTTGCTAATCAAAGGTGCTATGCAAAGGTACATTGCAGTCCCTAATCCCTGAGCCTGCCAGAGGCAGAGGCCCCAGAAGAAGGTAGCTACTCTGCTTTCACTGCTAGCTTGCTTAGCATCAGCAGATGCCACTAATTAATTACAGTGTCAGACTCATGGGCTATCTCAGCACCATCACTCCTGGGAGAGCCTAAGCCCCCAGTGCAAGTCAATGTCCTTGTCTTACTCCACGCATCAGGTGCCAGTAAGGTAGGCACCCCCTCCACCGTGGAGGGGAGAGGGGTTCAGCTGGTCACACACATGTTCTTTCAGTCTCATTGTGCAGGCCTTGGCAGTTCTCCCACTCCTGCTCACAGCACCTGGGATGAGGAACACATGAAGATGGTGAAAACATGGAGCCATGAGAGGTTGTCCCATGTCAGAGCTAGTAGAGTCGGGGAAGGCGTCTCTTAGTCTCTATCTTGGGGCACAGCCTGGGCAGGCCTTACTTTACATACCAGAGCCATGAGAAGGGAAAGAAAGAGGTTTCTAGGCCCCAGCCAGGACCACATTGGCCAGATGATGGAGCCTGGGAATGCAGATATGTGACACTCTGGGCTCAGGAGATGACTCACCGGATAAAGCCAGCTGCTTCCAAGACAGGCAGCTAGAGTTTGATCCTCAATCCTCAGGGCCCGCCTACAAGATGTCCTTGACCGCCATTCACGTACCTGCACGTGTGTGCGTGTATACCACATACATACAATAATGATAAATGTTTTTAAAATCCCTTCAAAATTTTGGAAGTACTGCCCCACAGTTCAGAGACAGAAAGGCACTGAAGAGAGACCACCCCTCCCCTCGGTCCTTCTCCCCTTGGGTCACAGATGATGTAAGGCACATCATCTTAAAAGGCTCAGCAACAGAGGGCCCAATTTCTCCCTTCCTGTAACTCCTTCCCCATCAACTGCCCTGCAAGTCTGCCCAGTAAGGCTCTCTGAGGTTCCTGAGGCTCCCAGGGGAGCCCCCCCAACCAGACCCCCACTGGCCCCTCCTCACACCTCTAGCTCTTGGAGCCACCGAGCTGGCACACCATATGGAATAGATTATTCTGGACTCAGGATAATCTGATTATCTGGTCCTGGGCCAGTTGGATGCTCAGCCAGTGGCAGCCACAGGCAGCAGAGGGGTGATGAGGAGGGAGGGGGTGGGAAAAGAGGAAAGAGATTTGGCAGATCATTCCTCCCCACTCCCGGAAAGGCTCTAGAGGAAATGCCAGAAGCCCCGTGGGTCTGATGCTGGTTGATAATACTGAAGGGATAGATGTC